TATTGGGATTCTGTTGATTTTTGGGTTATTGTTGATGATACTGTCTATGTTATGCCCTGATAAGCATAATGAATGATAACTTTTGGAATCCACCTAATGACCAATACTACGCGTGTACTGTTACCGTATAACTCTTAAGTAACTTAACTATTCATATTCATGTCTCCCTTATTATGAGCTTTATGTTGACCTATGAACTATTATTATACGATTTACCATTCTTGAATTATGCCCTGTCTATTAATTACTACCACCCACATTCACAGCCATATTTGGCCAAATCTCGTGTAAATGATGGTTTCTATTTTATTGGTACGATTTGGTCTGTCTAGTTGATATATAAACCTAGTATGTTTGAAATACATGATTCATATCGCAGAGGCTGAGATGGGTATTCTAGACTTAACTGGCTGGGCTAGGCAGGAAGCAGGACCGATAATTACTCTGGACTGCTCGTACGGGTTTTGCGCATCAATGGTCCGATCAATAATTCACTGCTCTATAATTGACGGTATCATTACGATACGCATTAACAGGGCACACAGGCCACAAGTTATAACAGTTTAAAATAATAACAGATAAACTGAATAAAGTTGTTCAGATTGAATATGGTAATATCACAGAAAACATATACTTGACTGATACACTGATTAATATGTCTTCCAATTCTCTTCTGGGAGCTTCTATCCATGATTATAATCCCTAATTTTTAAGGTAACTATAGAATAAACCTTTGTTTTAAATTCAACTGCTTCACATCATCTCAGGATTTCGGATTCGGATCATCAAAGACCTTGACGATATTGATAGAATTCACCTTATTCCTAATTATATGACTGCCCATTTACAATTCATGAACTATTTTATGGTGATGCTATGTCGGTTACATTCAGTTTATAGATATGTTTCATGCTTGAATAACTGGGTAATGAAGCTGATATTACTATTCATGATAATGATGATAATTGAAGATCTGAACTTCTAAATGATTCAATATTCAAAAAATATATATATATATATATAAAGTGTTAAGATAATACTGTTTTATATTTTAACGTCTTAAATTGCTAAATAATTTGTATCCCAGGAAGAAAACATATCGCTGAGATGTATATTTGCATATATTTCATTTTTGATGCGTTTCCACCATAATACTGATGAAATTAACAATTAAAATGTGATCAAATAGACTTAGGTTAACCAAGTTCTGTCTTAAAACTAGACATAAATATAATTAGGACTATACTTTATTGAATTCATGAATTCTGCCCTAACTTAATGAAGTTTAGCAACATACGTTCTTAGTAAATCATATTAACTACTTATGTAAACACCATGCCAAAAAATCTATTGCTTTGTTCAAAAAATATTGCAAACTAAAGAACTTACCTTCTAAATGTGTGTAATCAAGCCATATGGAAATACTCAGTACTACGTAAAATTCTCTTCCAGTAATCTATTTCTCGGTATCGACTGAATTTGATATTTGTTAAAATAAATTAAATTTTAGTCATTGGGCAACTATCGACCCGTGTATCATTTATAATTTGTTAACTAAGCGTACGGAGAAATTTTCCATGCATTAACAAAAACACTTAAATATCCAACTTTACTTTGTTCACACTTCTCAGAACCATCTACCGACTGCTTTTCTGTGAAATAATTAACAAACAACCGTTCATTCAAGACCACTTCTAATTCTGGTAAATGAAGCTAAACATTTTCCAGACTGGGATGCACTTGAGTAAACTATGCATTTTGAAAATTATTTATAAGGCTATCAGAAACTTCATAGTAATTTTACCACTTTTATTTCACATTATCAATACTAAATAACTTGGTGTTTTTCTACTTTCTATATGCGAAATGAATCATAAAATGTTTTATCAAAGTTTTAATTCAATATTAATCGGATTCACTGAACAGTTTATTTCGAACTCATCAGTTATGTGGAATAGATTGCTTGATCTGTCATAAACTAAGTTTTATGGAAATAGCCCTAAACTAGCCGATTTTCAAAGATTTAACAAAGTGTTGTTGATTGCTTGTTAAATTAAACATTTTGTATGTAGTACATTTTTAAAGTTATCAGAAAGAATAAACTGAATCATAATCCGCTTCAAATATTTTTAAAGATTAGATGCTTTCATTCACTGTAAGATTTGATTATAATATTTTCTGTGAGTGCTGTGATTACATATCAGTACCCATTCTTTATTAATGTATACTGCTGAAAATACTGGGAATATTATCATGGGATTTCGGCTCACAATATGAAGCTGAATATGTAAATTCTCTATCAAGCAATCGAAACCAGAAAAACTCAGTAAAAAATTAATATTACTGTTGTACAAAAGAACACTAATGGGTACAATCGAATGTACTTGACACGATATTACAGAGCATCTCAATAAAATCTGAGAACCATATAGTAAATAGTTAATTTGCAAAATATCAATCCATCATCTCAAACTTGACTGCTCCTTTTTGCAAATATCAGTCCATTGCCTCAGATTTGATTGTTCATGCATTTTCATACCAATTGCGTTCCGTTTCCGTTCTTTCCTTATCGATCTTCTACTGAAATACGTTCTATGCCTAACCCACACCACATTACTATTAAGTATTATTGACAAACTAAATGTACCTATTACTTTGCATATATTGCATTAAAGTTCTAACCAGTATTATCAATACCTACTTGAAGTAGAAGATCGAATACGTTTTTATATTCACCTATATGAATGACTATATTTAGGATAAATAAAAGATTATTCAAACTGAAATATTGTTTTTCATTAGTGAGAATAATTTATTAAATTATGCATATTTAGACACCATTAAATCATATATAAAGTAAAGATAATCGGATAAATTAATTATTTATCATTTATTCATAATTAGATTAAATAGTTAAGACTGACATTCACTTATTTACTCGTTTATTCTTTTATAATATATAAAATAAATAGAAATAGGTAGAGATTTATTATGCATGAATGAAAGTACTTAAGTATTGAATTTTTTTGACGAATTATATATTTCCAGTAGACCTATAGTATTGTTTCCTGATGGGTAGTCTATGCTCCTCCACTAGGGCTAGCAGGCACACCTAAATAGATAAGTATAGTCTTCCTTCATTTCGATTATTTCTATAAATGTTTTGAGTGCTTAGAACAATCTGAAGACTGTTAAATGAATATTTTGTTCAGATAATCCAGCTTTATTGAATCATTGAAATTGAATCATTTTATTACTGAATGACAAGTTTAATAAGTAGTATAAGTTGGAAACTGAATGAAATATTTAACCCAGTAAACTATTAATTACTGATTATCATTTAAATGTTTACATAATGCTTGATGTCACTCAGAAAATAAATGCGTGAATCTTAACGAGATATTGCATGAAAATTTCTCATGATGAATGAAAATAAAATTCATTAATTTAAGGTATCAAATTTATTGAAAAATATTCTATTACTCATCAGTTAGTCATGTTGTTGGTTTGTGAGGTTCCCCTATGTTATGCAGATAGGGTGGAGATGGCGAAAATTCATTAACTATTATCAAAACTACTATTAATTAACTTAAGTATAATTAGAAGGAAGTAACACCACAAATCTATCGATCATCTTATAAATGAAATCAACTCTATAATTTATTCCATTCACTAGCTGTTTATTCTAAAGATTTATTTGAGCTCTAAATCTATACTTATGAAACATTTATCATGTATTTCCTATTTAACGTGCTTTTTTCTAGTTGGAACTTATTATTGAACTCATTCATTTTTCTGAAATGTATAGCTTTAATATTTAGCCAAGTTTATGATTACTTCTGAAGCTCTAATGTTGTGACTTGAAGTTATATAATTACACACTGGTTCGTATCATCTGGCCTGATTTCTTTAAGTTGAAATCCTTCATCTAGTTTATTTATTATTTGTTTATATTATGTCAATTAATTGCTGACAAATGGATTTTAGTGTTCAATCATATAAATTCACTGAATTTCAATGATTAGCTGAAGTTAGACATTAACACCGTTGGATATCGGCCGGCTTAGTGGTCTAGTTAGTTAAGCGCCTGGCGCGAGACTGATAGGTCCTAAGTTTGAATCCCGCGGCGTGAGGTCGTGGATGTGCACTGCTGAGGAGTCCCACAATAGGACGAAACGGCTGTCCAGTACTTTCAGGTCTTCCATGGTAGTCTAGCTTCAATTGATTCATGACCTCAACTATTGAAATTACTACAATCTCCACGAAACACCTTCTGATACAAATGGGTAAATGTTCATCACTGAATTGATTTCAATCACTGGGATTTATTGCCTTAACTGAGAAATTTTAATATGTCATGTTTGTAGGTGTACATTTTTTAATAGTTTTCAACATAAAATATACGGCTGTTGATCTCGTAGTTACATGTATGCTTCTTTTAGCTACTATTACTTTCATTTGATTCTTTTTCATAGAAAAAACATTTTTCCAGTTGAAATCCTGTTTATTACCATATTTAATATGAAATCAAACAGTAGACCTAATATCAATTGTATTACCTTTAAAATAAGTCTAAAAATATGACTAGTTTATCAATTTGAATAGTTCCATTTCTTTTATGAACATTCATTTCATATGAAACCTCTTCTTATTAAAAAAAGAATAACATTTTAATAATATGCTTCAATAAGAAATAACCTCAAGCATTTAACTGTCATTTGTACAACTATTTCTTTGATATCCAACTTAAAGTTGGTTATTTTTCTATGAACATCAAAAATAATTTCTCAAAATTCAAACATCTATACTTTTTTTTTTTAAAAAAAAGCTAAATTCGAAAGAAAAAAACATTTCTCAAGTAAACAACACAATCCAAAAAAATGAGGGACGGGGGTGATTAAAAAACAAAAAAAACTAAAACTGTTTTCCCTTTTTAACAAATCTGAAAAAAAAATTTTCCATAACAATTAAATCCATATTCATATAAAATTAGAACTTACAATAATATTGAACAATTTGTTGAAAAATATTGTAATGAATTCAAATTATTCTGTGAAGTTGAAACAGGAAATAATCCAAAAGTGATTAAAATCAATTTCATTATGATGAATAAATGAATCGCTAAAAACAAGAGTTAAATATAAGGAAAGAAAAAAAGAAGAAAAAGAAACGATGAGCATGATAAGTAAAAAATAAAAACAAAATTTCTTTTTGAATGAGATCATCAACCGATTGATGCTAGATCACCATTGAAAACCTGGTAGAGCTGGACGGCCGTTTCATCCTGTTGTGAAACGTTGACTAGTGGAGCTAATCCGTGTCGGGTAGAAACAAGTGTCTACCACAGTACAATGGAAGATGGTCGCGCAACCCCGTGAATTGCTTGAGGTTAGACATGAACATCATTGGATGCCGGCTCAGTGGTCAAGTAGGTTAAGCGTCCGCGCGCGAGACTGAAGGCCCTGAGTTTGGATCCCACGAGCGGGATCGTAGATGCGCAATGCTGAGAAGTCTCATAATAAGACGAAACGCCCGTCCAGTGCTTCCAGGTTTTCAATGGTGGTCTAACATCAATCGGTTCATGATCTCAATCAAAAACTTAACAATCTCCACAATCCCTAAAAACTGAATATTTCTTTGTTTATTCAAGTATTGAACATACTTTGTAATTGTATATAATGTGTAATATACATCAAAATCTAACATCATATGTATAGTGATAGTTTATTTTAGAGTTCTTATGTAGAAAGTATCCTTAAATTTTAAAACATTTATGATATAGACATTTTAACCATGATTTCACATTTTAATGGTTCACTTTTGGTTTTATACAAAATGTAAGTGTTTTTTAATATGTACATTACATGCAACTGATTTATAATCTGGAATTTTAGGCATTATACTATAATATTAGACTACACCTGTTCAATCTAACGATTTGTTTATTTCAGTCAAATTTCTACCTTGAATAGATTTTCTTAACAGAACCAGCAGACAAATTTTTTAAATATTTGCTGATAAAGAGTACAGCTTGTATCAACAATTATTAGATAATAATCATATTCTTGTTATATCTAAAGCTTAGGCTCCTAATATGTAGCGTATAACTTGAGCACTCGGACAATAGAATCCTTCCAAGTCGGAAATAAAAAAAGAAGACAACTGAAAGAAATGCTATTCTAAATAGTGTCAATTATGGTGCAAAATTGTCAGGTATTTATAGTTTTTAGTATGAACAAAATCATGATTCTAGTCCTTCAAACCGCATATAGGGGGTTATTAGCATTTGTCCAATAGGGAAGCTACGCGTAAGGGTTCTGAGATTTTCTTCCAAAAGTTGATTGGATGAAATATCTTTGACTCTATCTGAGCTTCTTAAAGCTTCCTCGAGTTCACTCGTAGACCTTTCTCACAATTCTCTTTATTTGTTATGACATTTTATTTAAAATTTTATTTCTGTAAAAGCAAACCATTAATTATTATTAACTTACATTTGAAATAATTCAGTGGAAGTTTACGTATAGAATATTACAAACTCCTTGAGTTACATTGAAATATTATAAATGGATTGTTCAATTCTTTTATAGAGTTTTGAATAAATCTATTTTCTAAAGTCATTTTTATTTGACTATAACCTCGTAAAACATTAATTTAGAAATAATTAAGACATTCATATAATTTGTAGGCATCATTATCAAGGTTTGACTTGATAGTTTCAAATAAATTGAGTATTTAGTAGATTGCTATAAATGAAAATAAAATATCTGCTATTTCCCAACGAGTAGAAAAATGGAATTTTCTGACGTTTCGTGACTCACTGTAAGCCAATTCTTCAAAGAAAAAGTAACCAAATCAAAATTAATCTAAGTTTATTTTTGCTCTGAAGAGGTAGCTTACGCTGAGTCACGAAACGTCAGAAAATTTAATTTTGCTACTCATTGGGATATTACAAATATATTAATTTATTTACATTCGTATAATGTTCTATTCATTATAATCTGATTAGTAAACATTGTTGACTATTGGAAAAAGATTTATATAACTGAATAATATAACAGTATACAGATATCCCTATTGTATTACACTAAAACTACAGTAGAAAGGGAGTTATTATCATCATTATTATTGTTAATACTTGTAGCTAAGAATAAAATAAATGATTTCTCTAAAAACAGATTTAATTGGTTTTGTTAACAATTTCATCATATGTAAACAATTCTCATAATAAATGTCAGGATTTTTATTTGTTCCTTGTCTATATTGTGTATTTTAAATTAACTATCATCGCCAATAAAAATCCATATAGAGTAGATCACTTATATTAAAAACTTCATAATAACTAGAGCATGTAGCAGAACGTGTCTGGTCCGAGTTTCAGTTTGGAAATCGATACTGAGATGGATATACATCCATCCGTGAACAGGATGAAAAACCCATCTAGATTCCACTGCTACCTAATTTACTAAAACGTATCCTTAAACTAGTTCCCTGTAGCTTAAGATTTATGACCAACCTCTGTAATTGACTTGAAGTGACTATGACAGAACTGTTTAGTTAAAAATCACAGAAATCTCAGACGAATCGGCATTTTCCACTCCCTCTAATGAAACTGTTAATTCAATCTCATCAGGCAGGAATCATCCTAAAGTAGCATGCAGTAACGACATCGCCATCGATATCAATGGTTTGGAACAAGCAAATAACCTAACATTTATGTACAACTTAGCTTTCACTTTAAACATTTTCGTGATATATTCATACAGACTTGTAATTCAAATAGTTACTTTTCTTAATTCATTCAACTTCCTGTTCAGTGAAACTTTAAATAAGTATATTTTTCTACTGGCTTTTATTTAGATGTAAAGTGTGTTAGAAATAATTGTCTGAATAGTTAAAAAAACATTGGAATTTGTCACTTTGAAGCATATTGTATATTTGGCAAAATTTGAGTCAAGTATAAGATTACTGAAAGTTTTCAGCAGATAAACAACCCATAATATTGTAGTCTAGGGATGAAAACAGGATAAAGATTTCAGTATCACTCCCTACCACTTTTTGACGGATTATTTCTTTTGAAATTTAAAAACAATTTGTTTTGTTTCTACAAATTTGTTTGATTTCTGACCTGAATTCTTTCCCCTTTCAATAATAGTGAAAAATATGAATTATTGAGATTGCTGTGTATAAAATAGGCTAAGACTAAATATAAACAATTTGTGAAAGATTTATAATACCTTTCGTTAATTCAAATATGATTCACTGTCTGAGATGGTAAGAATAAGCGTTACATATCTTCTAAAATGAAGTAGCACACACAAAATATACAATTGTATGCAAAAATATGTAAACATATGTTTGTAAATGTTGTTGAAAAATTAGATATAGGGAATTCTTAATCGAAACACGACATAATCTTTAATCAAAAAATGACATGAGTATTAACTGTACTGTCTTTTCGCTTATTCATTGTTGTCTCCATTTATCCAAACTATTATCCATACTTCGTTGATCGAACAACAACCGATATTTTCAGTTTGGTATGATAGCTGATAAGAAAGCAGCACGGCCAACAGACAGATCAAGAGTGAGAAAGCAGCAGCACCTGAAAGTATACCAGTCGAATCACTAAAGTTAGACTTAGAAGTAACTGCAAACATACTACACGTTCTACTCAGGAAGATTTGAGAGGAAGCACAAGTGCCACCGACAAACTGGAAAGAAGATCTCAGTGTGTGAGAACTACAGAAGGCTTACACAACTATCGGTACCAGGAAAGCTTTTCAACAGTGTTGTTCAACCGGATTAAAGATTCTATAAACGGTTACTTTCGAGATCAGTAAAATGGATTCCGTAGGGATCAGTCCTGCACAGACCAAAGGGCAACATCACAAATCATAGTTGAATAATCAATTGAAAGGAACTCGTCACTGTACATCAACTTCCCTAACCGTGAGAAGGAGTACGACAGCGTGGATAGGAGAACATTATGGAAACTTCTTCAACACTATGTAGTACATGGGAAAATCGTCAACATCATCTGGGATTCATATGACGGGCAACACTGCAAAAGTTTATGCGGAGTACTGCTGACAGATGCATTCCAAGTGAGTACCGGAGTCAAACAAAGCTGCTTACTCTCCCTCTTTCTTTTCCTTCTGGTGGTTAACTGGATTAAGAATACCTCAACACCTGACAAAAAGCTTACATGCAACTAGGCGACTTAAACTTCACAGACGATCTAGTAATTCTATTCCATACACATGAAGAAATGCAGGTCAGAATAACCAGTGCAGCATCAGACTATGAATCAATAGGCCTCAACATACACAAGAGAAAAAGTAAGATCCTCATGTGCAACACGAAGAACACCGACTCAGTCACACTTGATGAAGAAACTCTGGAAGATTTGAAAACATTTACGTACCTGAACAGCATCATCGATGAAAAAGGAAGATCTAATGAAGACGTATAGGCTAGGACTGTCAAAGTAAGGTTAGTATTCCTAAGACTGAAGGACATATGGAACTCAAAACAACTATCAATCAACAGCGAAATAAGAATTTTTAATAACAATGTCAACACAGTCCTACTGTACGGAGCTGAAACTTCGATAATCACTAAAATCATCATGAAAATGGTACAAGTATTCATAAACAATTGTCTACATAAGATACTCAAAGTCCGTTGTTGGCCGGATAACATCAGCAACAACCTACTGTAGGGGAGGACAAACCACTTTCCATCTTAAGAGTAAACTAGGAAAAGTCGTTGCTAGTGGATAGGACATTCTTTGCTGAAATCATCAAACTACAACACGAGACAAGCGCTTATTTAGAATCCGTATGGAAACGGAAATGAGGAAGGCCAAAGAACACACTGAGTCGAAAATTGTAAGCAGGTATGAAAAGAATGAATAGCAAGTGGAAAAACCTGGAAAGGCTTGTCCAGGACAGAGTTAGATGGAGACTGCTGGTAGTTGTCCCATGCTCCTACACGTAGGGTAAAACAAGAATTTGATCAAATTAAATTAGATTATCCACACAATCTTAATCTACCTATATATATTCATGAATTCACTACATAATACAATCTCATATGGTGATCATTAAAGTAACAAGTTA